CACCGATGTTTATGGGGATCTTCCCCATCTATTTCCAATCAAAATTATAAATATTATCTTCTTTTCGTTGATGATTTCACTAGGTTTTGTTAGATATTTTTCTTAAAGCTTAAATCAGATGTGTTGTCTACTTTCTTACAATTTAAAAAGTTGGTGGAAAATCAGTTTCACACATCAAATAAGATGCTTCAATTTGATAGAGGTGGTGAGTTTGTCAGCCATAATTTCCAACAATGTTTGAATGCATCCGGAATTTTGCACTTCCTTACTTGTCCATATACACCTCAACAAAATGGTATAGCTGAAAGAGTGCACCGTCACTTGAAACAATGCGCTCACTTTTATTTAAGGCAAATAGCCCTCAACACTTCTAAGTTGACACACTTCAAGCAACGGCATATCTCATCAACCATCTCCCTTCCAAAACCACATCTAATGTATCCACATATCAACGATTATATCACCAACAACCTTCTTATGAGCACATGCGTGTGTTTGGTTGCTTATGCTATCCGTGGATTCCCCCAATACATCGCCACAAATTTGAGCCATGCTCTCTCCCTTGTGCTTTCTTGGGATAGACAACTGAATCAAAAGGCTTTAAATGCCTTGATCCTACCTCTCGTCGAATATATGCCTCAAGGCATGTCAAATTTTTTGAATCAATATTTCCTTTCAAACAATACACTTTACCTTCTACCCCATCAAATTCATCTCAATCCCTCCACTCACACTAGTGCTAGCTTCTGCTCTTTCTCCTAACCCAACAACTTCTCCCTCTACTACAATGCTTTCTCCGTGTCTCATTCCACCTAAACAATCTATAAAGATTCACACCACTTCCACAACTCCACCTACCCCAGACATTACCATTCATTCCACTCTTGTTGTTTCATCAATCAAACCCATTCACCATCCTATGCTCACTCGGTTACAAAGTGGGCATCTTAAACCAAAGCAAATTCTTGACTTACATCATAAAGTATTTCACTTTCGCCAACAGCGTTTTCTGAAGCTAATCAGCACACTACGATGTCAAATGCCATATCTGCAGAATTTTAGGCCTTACAGCAACAAGACACCTGGTCTTTAATTCCAAGTAGCACTGACCAAAACTTCCTTTGGTCGCAAATGGTTATACAAAACTAAGTTTAATTCAGATGGGTCAATTTCTCGTCACAAAGATCGACTTGTGGCACAAGGCTTTAAATAGGAATTTGGCATGGACTATAATGACACTTTCAATTCGGTTGCCAAATTTCCTACCATTCGACTCTTGTTAATTGTTGCAACTAATTTTTTATGGCCAATTTAGCATTTGGATGTCTCCAATGCCTTCTTGCATGGTACACTTGATGAAGGGGTATACATGAAACAACCTCCAGGTTTTCAAGACTCTCCGCATCCAACTCATGTGTGTCAACTGCATAAATCCATCTACGGCCTCAAACAGTCACCTTGGTCCTCAGCAATGGTTCACCGCATTCTCCACTCAATTGCTACAATACAACTTTATTGCAAGCAAGGCCAACCCTTAATCACTCATCTTCCAACAAGGACTTATCTCCTTATATTTACTAGTGTATGTTGATGATGTTCTTCTTACGGGAAACAACCAAACTCATATAGATAAGCTTCTCCAGCATTTGTGATCTAAATTCCATATGTGTAATCTGGGTCTTGTGCCACTCTTCCCTAGCATTCAGATTACACACCAACCCTCAAGTCTGTTTTTTTGCCAATCTCAATATATCTTTGATGTGCTTAACAAATCTGGAATGCAGTCGTGTAAACCAATCCAAAGCCCTATTCTGTCCAAATTGCCAGCTCCTGCCGACAGCACTAAACCATTCCAGCAACTTGAATTTAATAGATAATTTATTGGCTCACTTCAATATGTTACAATTACAAGACCAGATATTGCTTTTGCAGTATATTTCTAGTGACAACACATGCACAAACCGCAACAAAGACATTTCCAACATCTGAAAAGAGTGCTAAGATATTTGAATGGCACCATCAATTATGCTCTACCCATTACAAAATTAGCACTTGAACTTCATGCTTATGTTGATTTTGATTGTGCTGCTAATCTAGTAGATCGCAGATCAATCACTAGTTTATGTGCACTCCTTGGCAACAACTTATTATCCTGGTTCGTTAAGAAACAACCCACAGTCGCCCGATCATCTATAGAGGCGGAATATCGTGCTTTAGATGCCGTTGCAAGTGGACATTATGTGGTTACGTCAATTACTCAATGAATTTCAACTCTCCATCACCACCCCTACTCAAGTATACTGCGACAACACCTCTGATAGTGTATTAGCCAATAATCCCATTTTTCATGCCCGTACCAAATATATAAAGGTCGACTATCACTTCATACGGGATTGTATTAAAGATCACCAAATTTCAGTTCACCATATCTTATCTCAGCACCTACTAGTCGTTATCTTCACTAAAACACTTCCAATCACTCGTTTTCCACAACTCAGGAACAAATTAACAATTCAAGATGCACTGCCAACTTGAGGGGAGGTGTTAACAGATATATGCTATACCACCATTTGGCATAATAGTGATAAGTGGTCCTGCTCTACTATACCCTGCTATACAACAACCTCTGCAATTCCAGCCCTCCGGTCCAGTGGATATCTGCAGATATCTGCATATATGATCTGCCCGTCCATTCTTAACCATTTTTTCCCTTTACATTTCTACTTATACCTTATGTGATGTATTAAACAGAGCAGGGAATAGTAAAAATATGTGCGTCACTATTGCTTCTTCTTCTCTGAATATTTTTACAGTTTTAAGGCTTCTTCACTACTACCAGACATCCAAACCATACTCAAGAAAGGCCAAACTGAATTTCAAGAGGCCCCTATCAAGTTCTGTTTTGCCATTGTTTTCAATTGCTGCTTATTTCCCTTATTGTAAAAAGACGTATATTGAATTTTCTTGCTGTTTTCCGAAAGGCACCGAGTTCTTGGAATCACAAACTCAATCTTGGATCCTCTCATGCCCTGTCTAGGCATTGGAAAGCTTCGTTTGAGTAAATCTTAAAACTATGAAGCTTAATTTTAGTAGTAATAGATATAGCAATGGGATTGTGCCATTGAGTGATCAATTTACTAAAAAGAGCACACATTTTAAATATCTCGGGTCTATTGTCCAAAGCAATTGAAATAGATTGGGATATTATTAGTATAATTCAAATTGAATGATTGAAATGGAGGAATGCATCAGGCCTATTGTGTGATAGAGAACTACCCCTAAAACTTAGGGAAAACTTTATAGGATGATGATTTGCAAAGATGAGGATGCTTAGGTGGATGAGTGGCTTTACACTTAGAGACAGTATTCAAAACGAGTATTTACGTGAAAAGGTTGGAGTAGCTCCAGTGGCTCGGATGGTTTGGGACATAAAAAACGTCAACCTTTCAATGACCCTGTTAGAAGAGTAGATCTGTAGATGTATTATATCCGGCCTATGTTAAGAAAGATGAAAGAAAATCTAAAAATACTTGGTCATAAAGTATTAAAAAAGACCTTTTTTTATTAGATTGAAATGAGAATTTGACTCTTAATAGGACACAACGAAGAGAAATTATTTATATAACTAATCCCACGGAGTGAGAGGGATAAAAGATTATTGTTGTTATTGTTGTTAACTAGCAAGTCTAATTACATGCATGGTTCCTTGCTATTAGAAATATTGCCTAATAATTAACTTATTATCAATTTAAGAGTGTGATTTGGTTCGAATGATTTTTTTTCTAAGTTGATAAAATCCTAGATTGTATTTAATTGACAAATAATTTAATGAGGATCTAATAAAAAATATTTCCAGCTCTATTTTGTGCTAAATTTATTTTCTTGTGTCTAAATTCTTCCATGTAGAAATTTGAAACCAATACTTAATTCTACATTTTATATAGAATTATCATGTTGGTTTCATTGCATACATCAACCTTGATTGCTTTTGCATTCAAGTTAAGAGCTAACTATGAAAGATTGTCAAAACATGTGAAACAGATTAACATAGCGCATAAATGCAAAAATCAAGGTGACAACGATAAATCTAAAAATCTAGTAGATAAACATTCTTGCGTTATGAATAAGGTCAATCAAAATCTCTATCCAAATTCTTCAGATGAATTAACTGATGTAAAAACATGATAAGCACTAATCATATTTGTCTCTACATACCAAGGCCACAAAGCATACTCTTTTTAATGAGCCATAAATCCTACTTGCAGTTTTCAACAAGAATCTAGTGCATTTGTTAATATTAGTATTCGTCATCATTTTAATGATGCAACACTAATATTGAATCAACACCATCAAACCACTTGTGAAGTTTCTAAAGGTGAAGTTTATTTTTTATTTCTTTTTCATCAATGCTTCTAACAGGATATAGAAATGCTATAAATAATCAAACAAGATGGGGATATCTTCTCTATACAAGAGATTCCATGATTCTTCTAATGGAATGCATTATGGGTCCTTGTCATTCTGAAGGATTCCACCACAATAATTCTCTAGAAGAGAGTTATTCCCACCTTGAGGTGAATAACGTAGTGTCAATAACATGATATGACCAACAAGAGTAAACCCACACAATAAATGAGTAGATGCAAACCCAATCACATATTTTTAAGGCCCTTTATCAGTTATGACCGAATTTAGATTCTTTTTTTTTTTGTTTTAATGTCGAAAGGATTCGCTTCCTAGTTTTCTTGCCTTGAGGAATCCGTTGTCTTGAGAATTTGACATCAAAAGTTTGAGAATTCATATGGTATAAGGGTTTTTTTTTTTTTCCTATTTCCATATGATTTTCACTATTTTTTTGTGGACCCTGCAGCACAAACCCTCATACACAAGTACAAAACATAAGTACAGCTCATATCTTTTTAGTTAACAGATAATATTCTAAGACACGTTTGTTAAGTGAAAACAAAATAAAATAAAATAAAAGCTTGTACAAGGTGCACCTTGCTGTCCGAGAAAACTGGCTTGTTTTATGTCTGTACCAACGTTACAGTGGCCAACATATCTTTGTTTCATATCAATAGCAGCTTCAGGCTGCACATTTTAAAATAAGTATACCATGATAAATAGTAGTTGGAAAATAGGCTAATAATAATGAATTTGATAACAATGATATAATGAAAAATGGAAAACATTATAAAAGAAAAACAACAATAGAAATACAAAATACATATATACAGAAGCATGTTACACAAGAAGCCCTCTAGCCTGCATTCAAACCTGTAGCTATTAATCTCAGAGGCAACACTAAGATGTCACCAGATCAGATTTTCATATAATTTTATAGCAGAATATCAAATGAAGTTTTATATTAATTGGTAAAGAAAAATTTTAATATCAATATTTAAAAATAAAAGGAGATGTTCAAGATTTTGCTAACTATAGAGAAATCAAACTTGTAGGCCATACAATGAAAACTATGAGAGAGAGAGAGAGAGAGTAATAGAACATAAGCTTAAGAAATTGCATCCATTTTGGAAAACAAATTTGATTTCATGCCAAGTAGATCAACTATAAAGCAAATTTTGCATCAAAGCAATTAATGAAAAAATATACAAAGTATAGAAAAGATATTCAAATGATATTAAGCGATCTTGAGAACATAGAAGCTCAGGTACCACAAGAACAAATTTTGAGTGCATTAATGCAAAACCGTGTGTCAAATGTATTAAGTTATTGTATGACTGAGCACCGACTAACATTAGAAGTTGTAAAAACAGTTTTCAATTATAATGGGCTTTCATGAATTATCAACATGGAATCCATAACATTTTATATTAGTTATGGATATTCTTTAAAAGAATTCATATATATATATATATATATGATGCAGGACTACGAAAATGAGATGCTCTTTAACTCATATGGATTTGCACAATTTATGATTAGAATAATTCTAGAACAAAACTACTAGCGAATTCAAACAATGCGTCAAAACAATTAGTGGTTATCCGCTTAGGCTAAATCACATGGTGAGAGCTTTGAAAACTTCCAAAAGAAATAGAAAACAACACAGCGAATAGTAGTAGCTTTCAAATTAATCCCTAATCTAATAATGAGAGTTAGAGAACATAGAGGTGCACTCAAATCCTACGATTACTAAGCTTAAGCAAGAGCAATGCGGAGGAGTGCGTCGGGACTGCAATCAAATCAAGAGGAGTTAGACTAAAAGGGATAAGATGCAAGTCGGGAGAGAGACCTTTTGTCAAGGGGTAGTGGAGATCCTCCACTCGATGTCTTCGAAGTGTTTGTCGATAGCTTCCACCAAAGTATCTAGGATCCCCTTCAAGTAGTCTTCAACGGTGTGGTCAATCTTCGGATTCACGTCGAAGAAAGTTGATCGTAGGATGTTGGTGAAGCCGTCGTCGTCCCAAGTTATTCCATACTCAGTCTCCGGATCCGTCATTCATAGATGATTGAAGGTAGAATCTTCTTAGCAGTTGATGCTCCTCTCGATTGGTGGCCAAGAGAAAGAAGTTTCTCTTGCAAAGGGAGAGGAAACAAACTCCAAGTCTCTTTTCCAAAAATCTGAAAACAAGTTCAGGTTTTGCTCCAAAAATCTGAGAGAAATTCAGATTTTGGAATTGGAGTGGGGAATTGGAAAGAGAGAACTCAAGGCATCAAATCACTTGAAATAAAATAGAGGGAGAGAAATGATTGGAGAGAGAGGGAGGCGGTTTGGAAAGAGAGAGGGGGCCGGCGGTGCAAGGGGATGGGAGAGGGGATTTAGGAATTCCTAAGTTAACTACTTGAGTTTAGGAAATAAATTAGCAAATTGAGGCTTAGGAAAATTCGGCCAGCAAAGATCAAGGGAATTTGAATAGTTTCCTAGAGCAAAGTTGGAGGTTTAGGAAATAATTCCTAATCCAAGCAGGGGGGGGTATTAAGGAGAGGGGGAGCAATTAGTGGGAGGAATTGAGGGCTTCCTAATTGGGTTTAGTAAAGAGGGAAAGTTTAAATTAAACCCAATTCAAATAGGTTTAATTTAGGAACTTTCCTAAAATAGATTTGGTATTTTAGGAAAGATTTTAAATTGCAAATTGAACAAATTTGAATTCAGAAATCTGTCCCAAAATATCCAATCCCGATTAGGCAATGAAACTTAATGGGAAAGGGGGAGTGGGAGCTGGCGGCTAGATGGCTGGAGCCGGCGGTATGGGGACTCGGGTTGGGGGTTTTGGCCGTGGGGTTAGGAGGTAGGGGAAAGGGATTCAGGTGTGGTGGAATCCGGCGGCTAAGTGAGAGTGGAAAGGGGAAGGAAGAAACAAAAGGAAGAAAAGAAAACGAGAAAAATGAAAGAAACCACGAACCCAACTTATCTAGGTTGGTGGGTGTTGCACAAACCTCCCTCTCCTAATATATATAATAGAAAACACAATTCTAATCAGTGATATCCAACTTTAATATTTAATTTTTTTGTAGAAGATAAAACTTTAATACTTGATATATATTTTGGTATATATGTTTGGTATATATTTAATATCAACTAAATAAGCAAAAAAATAGTAAAACAATAGAGAAAATATTAAAAAAATAAAAAAAATAAGAATTAGTATGACAAAAATTGAGTACATGATATCCAACTTTTATGTATGTAATATGAACAATTATCAATCAAAATTATAATAAGATAAAGCAATGTGTGAAAGATTTAAGTATCATAGATCTATTATATAGAAGAATGCAGATATAGATGAATATATAACTTTAATAACAAAGGACGTGGGGTTAAAATAAAGAAGTATCTCAAGAGTTTTATGTGAAAAGAGTATATCAAGAAGACTTAGGTTAATTTTATAAATCCGCAATTAGGGTGGTAATATTACATAGATACAAATATCTAGTTCTAAATATTTCATATCGAAGAATAGCATAAATGAAAATATTAGGATGTATGTGTTGTAAAATTAGGAAGGGTAAATTAAGAAATGATTATATAAGAGGAACAGTTTGAGCAATATCTAATGAAATGAGATTGGTGTTTTGGACATGTGCAAAAAAGCATTTAAAAGGCACCCATTATGCAAGAAGTTAAAATTAATGTCAAATGATTAAAAAAGAAAATGGATAAAGCCTAATGCAACATTGATAAAAGTTAGTCAAAACGATTTATGAAGAATAGGCTAACACTCATATAACCCTAAACAAAAAATAAATGAAGAATGAGGATTCATAAAGCCGAATACAAATAGTTGAGATTAAGCTGATAATGATAATGGTATTAGCTGAACTTTCATAATTGGATATGGAACAAGTTTAATCTCACCATAGACCTAAGTAAAAATACAATTTATAGTGCCAATATCTGCAACAAAATGTGATGAGAGTTTTAAATGAAGGATGAAATTTCACTTAACATTAAAAAAGGCCCAAATTCTTGACATAGAAATATGTTGAATTGATGAAATATTTCTCACCCTAGTTCATTTAAAATTTAATGTCACCTGAACAAAAAAAAAATCCTACAGGAAAGTTCTGGAAAAGAGAACAAACCTCATAAGAGGCCTCATGTTGAGCTGATAGACCAAGTGAACCATTGGCTACAGTGTTGTCTCTTTTTAAATAATCTCTTTTGTGAAATCTCAAATTTAAACTTCCACGGAAAAAGTTTGGTTCATTGTCAGAGCCTTCATCCCCAGATATTGAAGTTTCAAAGTCCACTTCCATTTCATCTTCATAGTCAGAATCAACCCTCTCAAGCTCATGACCATCCAAAGAATCCTCACTATTGAATCCCGTCCGGAGGAGTACATCACTCAACGATCTCAATCTTCCACGGCACACCTTTCCCCTAGTTGAATCCTCACAATCCTCTCTATTCCTTTTTTCTTCAGCTGTCTCATAGTAAACATGAAATGTAAAATTATTTAAATCAAATGTAAGAACAATTTAATGTGTCACCTACACTAATTTAACAGAGGTCTAAGGCCAAAAAAAAAAGAGATAAAATTTACAAATGGATAACCTGAAGGTATAAAATAAACGTGAAAAACATATAGACTAGAGTAAAAAGCAAAAACTGTCAGACGAAAGATATTCTCTGCCCTGGTCTATAACTGATCGACTATGGTCATACCATGTTTGACTATAATTAAAGTATTTTTTAAGCTTGTTCAATCACATTCCAAATAATATGTTTAACCTCCATCAGCTTAATGTTTGATTGAACTTCTAAACAAAAGCTTTTAGAAAGGTAAATATTTTGAATTTGTCAAACAGCAACCACAGTTACTATCAAATTCAAACATATGCTAAACAAGTAATTTGAAAACTAATAAAAGTTAAGGATGTGGAGAAACATAAAAAATAAAAATAAAAAGATGATTCATACATGTAGAAGATTATCAATATAATAGAAAAAAAGGGGATTTCATCTTCACCATCTGAGCAAACTACTTGCCCTTCAATTTTTTCATGAAGAAATTTCTTATCAAGCCTGTGCCTTGCGTCATATCTGGTTTGAACATTTTTAATGAATTTTCCAAATCCTTTTTGAACATTTTTTATCAAATCATTTTGGTTCACCTGTTTTTCTTTTAAGCCAGCCCAATACTGATATGTTTGCTTGCTGCCAAATTCGCCATAAAATATCACATACCATCACTATTTACTGTCAATCAATGATTGATGAGCAGAAAGATGCTGCTCATCTGACCACAAAAATAAATGCCCCAAGGGGCATTTGTAAAAGGTATTTTGAGCACAAAATCACCTAAAATATAACCAAAAGTCTCCTCCCCGTTGCATAAAAATGATGTGAATTCGTTGCACATGTGGTGCTTAAAGTCTCCCTCTCAATTTTCTACTTGTCCTCATGAGATTTTTATGAGTGAATGGGCAGAACAGTGAGTAAAGGAGAGGAAGACAACAAAAAAAATTTGGAGGGGGAAATTTCGCTAGCAGTTGTTACAAAGAGTGGAAAGTAGAAGCCAGAAGAAGAAAATTGAAGAGGGGGTTAAAGGATTTTCAAAGAAAATATCTTTTTTTTTTTTCAATTTTGGGGGGCACTAGAGCCCAATTACTTCTTCTTTCATCTAGTCACCCAACATTGGGTTGGAAGGTGCTGCACCATTAAAACTAAATTTTTTTTTAAGTAGAAATTTTTTAATATATTTACATTTTTCTTTTTTAATACATATAATATATACATAAAAATGTTATTATTTATTTATTTATTATTATTAATTATTATATGCATATCCTTTATTGCTATTATTATCAATTACTATCTCTCTCTCATTTTCTCTTAATTATTACCTAATATGGTTTTAAGTTTAATTAATTAAATAACAATTGATGCTCAAAATATATGCATATAGGATATACAACTCATAAACACTCTAATTCGTAAAAGTTTCACTTTGCTTTGCACTTCACACATTGAAGCAAAAAAAAAAACACTTGCTCATCACAGAGCACTTAGTGCTTTGAAGATATTGCTTATTACAAGTGCACAAAGCAAGAGACAATAGAATGACAAGGTAAAAGTTGTGACCTCTTTCAAAAGAACAAACAATTCAAAATTGAATTATATCATTTAAATAACCTAATACCAAAAAATATAGCCCAAGAATCATCATTTTCATTAACCTAATCCCAACTATTTAAGGTTATATTTGCAAATCCCCAAAAACTTGAATGAACTAAACAAAACGATTTGTGACATCAAGTATTGAGAATATGATTCAAATCAACAGGAAAAAGAAAAAATTGAACAAATCATGTAAAGAGTGAAGTACAAAGAAGAAAATAAAATAAAAAAGTAAACTTTTCGCATTAAAATATCATAGCATAAGACAGGAGAAACAAACCTGCAGCAATATGATCCATTATGTTTACCACCTTTTCTGCAGCCTCAGAGTTTGTTGGATCTAATTCACGTGCAGCCAAAGCATAATCTAAGGCTTCTTTGTGTTTCCGTAACTGCTTACACCAATCATAGTTATTCAACAGAAAGCAAGGACAATTAGATAAATAAACTGCAGGACCTTTAAATAAACAGGTGGAAGCCGTAAGGTTTAAATACAGGCTACTGACATCCTAGACGAAAAACATACCTGCATAAGTGCTTTTGACATGTAGTAATATGCTCTAAATGATGTTGGATTAATGCTTCGAGCATTGTTACAATCTCTTATAGCCATATGAACATCATTTTTCCATTTTCTCTGGGATTGAAACGTCAGACTTAATATAGTTAAGCAATAAGTTTTATAGACTAAAAAGACCATTACGAACCTTAAGAAGCAAAGCTGCTCGAATGCACAAGCATTCATGCCTCATTGCAGGGCCAACATCAGGACCTTTGCCATGAAGCACTTCATTGCACATCTCAATTCCATGAAAGACATTTGATCCTTCTTCTAAAGTTTTTGCGGCTTCTTGCACCAACATCTTGCACATTTCAAGCTAAACAAATTCCTCACTCACTATCAACATTTGCATTCGAGACTAAAGGAACTAGCATAAATTGAAAAATCAAACTTCCTACCCTTCCCAAATGGCGTTTACTTCCAGTGAATTGGCTTGAACTTGTTTTAAGTGGCAGTAGACCGGTTTCTCTACAGCTGTTGATTGATAGCAGCTTTGAAACATCATTAACAAAGTACCTCATGGTATCCTGATCACCTAGGATTTGTCACAGTATAGAATTAAATAGATGATGACAGCAAAAAACGCTTTTCTTTCAGAAGGAGAACATCTTGGCGGTGACTACATAAGGCTGTCAATCTAGTTCAATCTTCACTAGCAACAGGCCTTCAGCTTGATATCAAGCTTGAGCTCGGCTCATTTGTGAATCAAATGAGCAGAGCTTCAATAAAATTACAAGTTCTTCTACAAAGAACACAGAGTATCACCTGTTCATGTTTCCATAGAGATAACAAGTTGAATGTTCATGTAAGCCTATAACTATTTAAATGAAGCGCAAGTTTGTGTAATTATTAATGCATATAATGAGAAACTTATATATATATATATTTAAAATCAAATAAAATATTTGAAATGATATTATCTGCAAATAATGCTATAGAGGGGTTATCAAAATAAGAGATAAATGTGTAAATAATAGAGAATAGTTACTTTAAAGTTAAAAAAGCATTCAGAATGAGGAGCTAAGGAAAATCAAAGAAGATGTGTTATCAGATGGGAACAGCCACCCAGGCTACTCAGTTGTGGGGGAAAGACTGTACTATCAGGGAAGGAGTGTGATTCCAAGGTCTTCCATCCACATTCCCCAGCTGCTACAGGAGTTTCATGGGAGTGCCATAGGAGGGCATTCAGGAGTGCAAAAAACTTATAGCCGGTTAGCTGCTGAATTGTACTGGAAGGGGATAAGGAAAGATATAGAGGAGATGGTGGCGAAGTGTGATATCTGCCAGCGGAGCAAGTACCTGACGATGGCACCAGGGGGATTACTACAGCCTCTGGCCCTACCAGAGAAGGTTTGGGAGGAGATTACTATGGATTTCATTGATGGGCTCCCAAAATCAGAAGGCTACACAGTTATACTTGTAGTGGTCGACAGGCTGAGCAAATATGCTCATTTCATTCCCTTGAGACACCCGTACACAGCGGTGTCTGTAGCAGCAGCATTTGTGAGGGAGATAGTCCGCCTGCATGGGGTACCAGAGTCCATTATTTCTGATAGGGACAAGGTGTTCCTGAGCCATTTTTGGAGGGAGCTATTTAGGATGCAGGGAACAGATTTAAAGGAGCACAGCCTACCATCCATAGACTGATGGGCAAACGGAGGTGGTGAATAGGAGCTTGGAGACATACTTGAGGTGTTTCGTGTCTGAAACACCAAAGCATGGCCAAATGGCTAGCTTGGGCAGAATACTGGTACAATACCTCCTTTCACTCGGCGACCAAGATGACACCTTTTAAGGTGTTATATGGGAGGGACCCCCCACTTTGGTACACTACAGCCATAGTAGTATCTTAGTATCTGCAGTGGATCAGCATTTGAAGAAAGAGATCAGGTGTTGGAAGAGCTCAAGAGGCATTTACTTAGAGCCCAGCAACTTATGAAGAAGCAGGCGGACAGCAAAAGGAGAGACATACAGTTTGCAGTTGGGGACAAGGTCTACTTGAAGCTCCGACCATACTGACTATGGCCCAAAGGAGAAATGAGAAGCTCGCCGCAAGATATTTTGTCCCTTTTGAAGTAGAGGAGAGAATTGGAAAGTGGCCTATAGATCTAAGGCTTCCTCCAACAGCCAGAATACACCCCGTTTTTCATGTCTCACAGTTGAGGAGAGTGGTGGGGGAGCATGTAGTAAGCCCAGAGCTGCCCAGCACATTGAGGGAGGACATAGAATGATTGAGCCTCTAGCGGTAGAAGGAGGTGCGCATCAATGAGAAGGGGAAAAGAAGTGAAGATTAGGTGGAGCGGCCTCCCAGACTATGAGGCCACCTGGAGTCACAGGAGAGGATTGCAGAGCAGTTTCCTGCTTTCCACCTTGAGGAAAGGTGGTACTTGGGAGCGGGTAATGTTAGCCGGTCCAGCCTGGACCGGCCCAACCTGGACCGGCTCCAGACCGTCCGGTCTTCTCCAGGGGACAGGCGGCAGGAAACGGATAATAAGGGGGAGGCGAAGAGGGAAAGGGCCAAGGGGTGGGGTCCACTTGCAATTCAAACATGGTTTAAGTGTTTTTGGAGGGAGAAGGAAGGGTAGAGAGTCCTTTTGCTTTTGTTTTGAATTTAGATTGTATTAAGAGGGAGTTAACCTAGGTTTTGTTTTTCATGTTGATTTTGAATTGATTGGGAAGAGAGCTAGTTTTTTCTTTTGGGCTCTAGGCTACGGCTAGAGATTTGGAGAGTTATTCCTTCCTCTTCGAATCGAATGAAACTTGTATCTTTCTTATCTTTTGCATTGACTAGTGAATCAATCGTTTGCTATTTTTTTTCCTATTTTTCCTAACGATTCTCTTCAGATTTTTTCCACTGTTTTGTGTTTAGTGGCTGTTTTCTCATAGAAAACAGCGATTGTGCGATTTGGCTTAGATCCGATAGGAATCACTTGAAATACTCAAGTGGACCTATCATAACTTACAAACAAAGATAAAACATTATTAAAATATTTAATAGAATTTTATAAATAAAATTTACTGCTTATGAGTCGTGTATGCAGTGCTTATGCGTTGCGCGTTAATGTGTATTTTGTGCGTTCGTAATCGTAATTTGTGCGTTCGTAATGCGTATTTTGTGCGCTGCAGTATGCGTACTATGCTTAATTTAATGCGTATTATCATTTAATATGTAATTTTTTACTCAAAACCAATGTAAATAAACATTATAACAAGAATTGAAAGATATATCTTTAGTGGTTACATCAATGAGTTACACTTTTCTTCAAGTGGTCTCGCATTTATATAATAGAAATATGAATGTTGAGCAATAGTAAGTAATAAAGGCTCATAAAAAATCAACCAACCCTCTTACCTCTCCAACCATACCTTTCTAAAGGCTCATAAAATAATTAATATAATTTTTAAATAAAATTTACTGTGTACGTGTGCGTTCTTTTGTGCGTCGTATTTGTGTATACGGTGTACGTTGTTGCGTGCGTTACGCGTTTAACAAAATATAGTCTTCAGAAATAAACATTTATACCACAGAATCAGAATGAAAAATATTATACACAAAAACATTTATACACAAAACATTATACACATATGAAAACTATTATTTTGCAACGTTTTACAAAATAGTTCATATGCAAATTCTGTCCTACTTTGCATGTCTCGTTGCCAAATTTGTACTATTAGTCCAATCAGTGTGCCTTTCAAGACTTATTCTTTCCATATATGTTACAGATATACATCTCTACAATCAAAAGAGTTTCTCCTGTTTTGGTAGACCTTTAAATGATAAGAATACTTCCATTTTCTATATCACTATCCAAAAGCTCCTTTCGTGTCAGAATATAAGGGCTTTAAGCTGAAATATACGTAGAGCAAGGATTAGTTCGTTAAATTTTTTTAAAATATGTATAGAGTCTCATGTTATTCTAAGTATCTACAAGAATAACACTTACGATTTTTGGAAACAACAAGAGCATAGTTCTCTTGACGCGGTGGTTCAATGAGTCATAAATTTCACTGTTGTTCTTTCAGCCAAAACCAACCAAGAAGGATAATGTGGGATACGGATTCAGATGATTGGTTTGTAATAAAAAAATTTGAAGTAACAGAAAGCTCGTTCGTTATATTGGTCGATTTGCAATTTGGACTAATTTTCCCTTGTTATCTGGCAAGTGCAAGTAGTAAAATGTAGAGAACTAAATGAATGGGTACTAAGTTACTAATCCAATAGTTAAACTGATAAATTGAATACTAAGTTACTAACCCAATAATTGTGAAGATGTATAGAATTTATGGTACTTTGTCTGGCTAAGGTACACTTCTCTCTAAGAGATAGGCAAAAATATCTATATGTCATTGCCTTTAAATAACCTGTTCGCCTATAATAACTCATCAATTCTCAGATCTGGAAAAATAAGAATGTTAACAAACAAACACGATACTAATCGTCCCTGCAAAAAAAAAAAATAAAATACGCATTTCATACGCAAGATACACACGCATACATAGTATACCACACGCCATACAACCATATCATACGCATACAACACGCATATCATACGCATAACACACGCATATCATACGCATACAGATCTTCAAACAAAAAATAAGTTGCAATTTTTTACCTTTTATAGAACTTTTTCAAACATTCTAGCCCACAAATTTCTCTTCAGAAGTCAATATACAGGAAGACCTTTGTAATTTTCTATTTCATCTGCATAAACATAAGTTACAGGTTGTTTATTTGAATGTTTATCTACTGTATTGGTTCATTTGGATTTGTTATATGGAATAAGTTGCATTTCTGCTGGGACTGGCTCATTTGTTTGGATTAGATCTTTGTGGATTGGCTTATTTGTGGGGATTGGATCTTTTGTTGGATTGGCTCATTTGGTTCATTGGGGCTGTGGGGAGAGATATCTGCTTTATGTCTCTTATTGGAAGATGAAGAGTAGCTAACAGATCTTTTATAAGGAACTATTTTGCTCTGATCAATGTAATTATTGAGCTTGACCTCAATAACTCCAACTCTCTCAGTAAGATCTTCAAACTTTTGCTAGCTCTGCTTCAAATTCTCGAAAAAGTTTGTACATATTATTGGCATGATTTCATTATGTTTCTTGTAGAGACGAAGTGCTTCAGCAGAAAAACTTAAATGTGGTTGCTGAGGAGATTGGTGGGGTCTTGCTGAGGAGTGTGTAATGATGGGGAGGATTGGGGGGTTGTTTTGATCGGTGGATAGTCATGAGGGGAATCAGGGGATGGAGGCTACTGCTGTGGATATTCTCGACAATAAACCATTATCCATTTTCTGTGGCCTGGAAAACTGCCTGGGTAAGATCATTACAAATCTGTACTTTTCCTATATTTGCAAATAAGTTTATGTGAATCACCTCTTTATATATACAAATCATCGGCCCATCGAAGAAAACGATCCTTTGTCGCATACATATGAGCATGAATAGTAGTATGCGTCCAGAACTCAAATCGTGCATAAGATTGAAAGAAAATTTTAGCACTCACATTTTTAAGCCAATAAAA